CTTATGTTTTTATACAAAGACCTATATTGGGCTTTTCTCTCCTTTTTATCCTATTTCCATATGCAGTTATATAGCATTGTTCAGAAGACCATTAGATTTAATTCTCATTTTAAAGTTTAATTTTTTTGTTTTTTTTTTCCCTACAGATTAAAGAATTTGCCCTTTAGCTTTACAAAGCTACAGCAATTGACAGCTATGTGGCTCTCAGATAATCAGGTGGGCATTCTGATTTCATAAATTACTAGAATTCCAATTGTGTTATATAATTGTGCACTCTGATTTACATAGGGTTATTTAAGAGCAGTTATACACTGGTACAGATGTAAAAATGTATTATTAATATATGTGTATAAAGAAAATTGTCTAAAATATTTAGAAACATAATTTTTATAAACTAGGTGTAGATTCATAAATAATCCTGTTGGGCTTGGCTAATTTCTTCTAAATCCATAAAAATAGAGATTAAGAAATCAGACTCGATACTCCCTAACTTAAGTAACATTATCATATGTACTTGTCATTCTTTGTGGTGAGAACACTTAAAATCTACTCTCTCGGCAATTTCAGGAATATAATACATTGTTAATAATTATAGTCACCATATTGTACAATAAATCTCTTGAACTTATTCCTTCTCACTGAAATTTTGACCCTTTGACCAATACATCCCAATCCACATCCCATCCTGCCCTGTCCTTACCAGCTCCTGTTAGTCACCATTTAACTCTGTTTCTACAAGTTTGCCTTTTTTAGATTCCACATATAAGTGAGATCATGCAATATTTGTCTTTCTGTTTCTGCTTATTTAACTTAGTATAGTGTCCTCCAGGTTTATCCATGTTGTTGCAAATGACAAAATTTCCTTTTTTAAGGCTAAATGGTATTGCTGTGCGTGTGCATATGTGTGTGTGTGTTTCTTTATTCATTTATCCATTGATGGGCACTTAGATAGATTCCATATATTGGCTATTGTGAATTCTGCTGCAATGAACATGAGAGTACAGATACCTCTTCAACATACTCATTTCCATTGGTTATATATATTTAGTAGCGAGATTGCTAGATCATATGGTAGTTCTATTTTTAATGTTTTGAGGAACCTCCCTAGTGTTTTCCATGATGGAAAACAATATACATTTACTGTACTAATTTACATTCCCACCAACAGTGTGCAGGGGTTCCTGGTAAATTTTGTTAACTAAAGTGCATATATAATTTTCTTAATTTTCTGATCTTTTTAAAAAGATCAATGTTTACTATTTGATGTTTAGCAAAACCTTACAATTAATTTACCCAGAGCCATACTTTCCCAGGTTTGTATACACTGGTCTCATGTGATAGTCATAAATTCCACAGCCAAATTTGTTTGGGAAACTATAATAT